GCCTCGGTTTTGCAACCGCGGCTGTTAAAAATCAACTGTTTCTCTGCCATCCCCATTTCTCTGCCATATCCACTTCTCTGCTCTGTCTCCTGATGCCTAGACACTGCCGCTGGCCACGTGGATCTCACAGCTCTCCTAGGCAGGACCATTCAGGGAACCCACTGAACCTTCTCCCCTCCCCCTCCTCTTACAGGGAGCTGTGGCGGCTGCGAGAGGAAGCTTCATTTTTTCTCCCAGTCCACCACCTGACACCCGGGGTTTTGGCCTGTGGTAGCTCTTATGCGCAGATCCTACACTCAGATGTGCTGGTGTGCAGTTTGGGTGATTTTTTTTGTTGTTGAATTTTAGATGTTCAGCTTATTGTTTCAAGAGAAGAGATCTGGGGACGTCTCTCACTCCGCCATTTTTCTGACCTCTTGTGTCTTCTTGAATTCTTTCAATAATGTCTTGTCCTTTTCAGTGTACAGGTCTTTTGTGTCCTTTGCTAAGTTTATTCCTAGGTATTTTATTTTATTATATATACACCCATGGGTGTATACAGATATATACATATATACACCAATATATATATATATACATATATATATATAGCATTGTGTGTTCACAGCACATAGTTAGATTTCTTTCTGTCATCTCTTGAATTCTCTGTTATTTAATTTTTAGTATATAGAAATGCAACAGATTTTTGGATATTGATTTTGTAACCTGCAACTTTACAGTGTTTGTCTTTTGTGTCTAATAGTCTTTTGGTGGAGTCTTTAGGGTTTTTTATAGAGAGAATCATGTCATCTACAAATAGTGACAGTTTTACTTCTTCATTCCCAGTTTAGGTGCCTTTAATTTCTTTACTTGCCTCATTGCTCTGGCTGGGACTTCCAGTACTAGGTTGAATAACGGTAGCGAGAGTGGGCATCCTTGTTTTGTTCCTGATCTTGGAAAGCTTCCAGTTTTTCACCATTGAGCATGATATTAGCTGAAGGTTTGTCATATACGGCTTTTATGTGTTGAGATACTTTCCTGCTATACCCATTTTATTGAGTGTTTTAATCATAAATGCATGTTATATCTTGTCAAATGCTTTTTCTGCCTCTTTTGATATGATCATATGATTTTTTATCTTTTACTTTTTTCATGTGGTGTATTACATTGATTGATTTCTGGATGTTAACTATCCTTGAGGCCCTGGAATGAACCTCACTTGATTGTGATGTATTATCTTTTCAATATATTGTTGTATTCTATTTCCTAGTATTTTGTTTAGGATTTTTGCATCTATATTCATCAGCAATATTTTTCTATTTTTAAAAATTCTCTATTTTACTTCTGCCAAGTTTTTTATTATTTCCTTCCTTCTGCTTACTTCAAGTTTTGTTTATTCTTTTTCTAGTTTCTTTGATGTAAAGTTAGATTATTTGGGATTTTTCGTGTTTCTTGAGGTAGGCCTGTGTACCTATGAACTTCTCAAAATTGCTTTTGCTGCATTCCATAAATCTTGGAAAGTTATGTTTTCATTTTCATTTGTCTCAAGGAAGTTTTTGACTTTCTGTCTGATTTCCTTTGATCTATTGGTTGTTTAGTAGCAAGTTATTTAATCTGTTTCTGTTATTTCCAGTTTTATTCCTGTAGTTAATTTCTAGTTTTATGCCATTTTGGTCAGAAAGTATGATTGATATAATTTCAATATTCTTGAATTTTTGTGGCCCAATATGGTCTGTCCTGGAAAATGTTTCAGGTGCACTTGAGAAAAATGTGTAATCTCCAGAAATATATAAATGTCTATTTAGTTGATCTGGTCTTATGTAGCATATAGGCTATTATTTCTTTATTAATTTTCTGCCTGGATCGTCTATCCATTGAGGCACGTGGGGTATTAAAGTCCCCAACTATTATTGTATTACTGTTAATTTCTCCCTTTATGTCTGTTAATATTTGTTTCATATAGTTGGGTGCTCCCAACTACATTGTTACAACCTCTTCCTGAGTTACATCCTCTTCTTGGATTGTGCTTCTTTGCCTCTTTTACATTCGTTTTAAAATCTATTTTGTCTGGTATGAGTATTGCTACACCAGCTTTCTTTCCATTTCTATTTACATGGATATCTTTTTTTTTTTTTTATCAACCCTTCACTTTCAGTCTGTGTTTCTTTCAATTTAAAGTGAGTCTCTCATAGGCAGCATATAAATGGGTCTTGTTTTTTTCCCCCATTTTGCTACCCTGTGTCCTTTGATTGAAGCACTTAATCCATTTACATTTAAAGTAATTATTGATAGGTATTTGCTTATTGCCATTTTGTTAATTTTTTGGTTGTTTTTGTCGTTCTCTGTTCATTTCTTCTCTTGATCTCTTTCCTCTTAACTTGCTGGTTTTCTTTAGTGTTTGGTTTGGGTTCCTTTCTGTTTATTTATTGGTAGGTTTTTGTTTTGTGGTTACCATGAGGTTTATATATATCATCTATATCTATGGCAGTCTATTTTAAGCTGATAGGCATGTAAGTTTGAACACATTCTAAAAGCACTGCATTTTCACTGCCCCCCCCTTCGTTTTTCACATCATATTGTCTACTTTGTTTTGTGTATTCCCTATTTAGTTATAGCTAATTTTGCTACTTTTGTCTTCTAACCTTCATATTAACTTTTTAGTGGTTGATTCACCGTGTTATATATTTGCCTTTAACAGTGAAATTTTTTTCTTTACTGTATTTTCTTATTTCTGGTTATGACCTTTTCTGCATAAAGAAGACCTTTTAACATTTCTATTAAAACTGGTTTAGTGGTGGTGAACTCCTTAAGTTTGTTTTTTCTTGTCTATGAAACTCTATTTTTCCTTCAATTCTGAATGATAACCTTGGTGGGTACAGTATTATAGGTTGTAGGTTTCTTTCAATACTTTAAATATTTCTTGCCACTCCCTTCTAGCCTATAAAGTTGATGCTACAAAATCATCTGATAGTCTTATAGGGTTTCCCTTGTATGACATGTTTTTTCCTTCTTACTACCTTCAAGATTGTTTCTTTATCCTCAACGTTTACCATTTTAATTACAATATGGCTGGTTGTGGGCCTTTTTGGATTAATTTTGTTTGAAATGCCCTGTGTTTCCTGGACCTGGATGTTTGTTTCCTTCCCTAAATTAGGAAAGCCTTCAGACATTATTTCTTCAAATATACTTTCTGCCCCTTTTTCTCTTGTCTCCTGGAATCCCTATAGAGCAAAGATTAGAGCACTTGACGTTGTCTGAGAAGTACCTTATACTTTCCTCATTTTTAAGAATTCTTTTTTCATTTTGCTGTTGTGATTGGGTGATTTTCACTATTCTGTCTTCCAGGTTGCTAATCTGTTCTTCTGCATTAACTAATCTGCTGTCTATTCCTTCGAATGTATTTTTCACTTCAGTTAATGTATTCTTCATCTCTGATGGTTTTTTATTATATTTTCTAGCTCTTTGTTGAAGTTCTCTCTGAGTTCCTCTATTTTCTCAAGTTTGTTGAGCATCTTTATGACCATTTCTTTGAATTCTTTATCAAGAATTTTATTGGAGTGTTTCTCTACAATTTTTTTTTATTCCTTCATTTGGGGCATATATTCTTCTGTCGCTCCATTCTGTTTTTATTTACTGTATTTGTTCCTGTGAGTTAGATGAAATAGCTCTCTCTCCTAGTCTTGAAAAATTAGCCTCTGTGTAGACTTTGTGCTGAATGGTTTCAGCAGGCTGGTTGTAGGGTAGGCACATGTGGTGTCTGATGTGTCACCTGGCCAGAAGGAATTAATTCTAGGTGGGCAGCTTGGTGGGTGTGCGCTTCCTTGCCCTTCTGATCCAGGTGGGGCTGTCCAGTGTGCCTGCAGCACTCACCGTTGCTTTGTCTGTTGCCCAAGCCTGGTCTGGATGGGGCCACTCTGAGTTTAAGCATTGCAGCACCCTACTAGTTCTATACTTACTCCTGACAGGGCAGCCCTGTGTGTACATACCACAGTGCTTTGCTAGTTTTACAGTTTCTCCAGACAGGGAAGCCCTATATGCCTGCACAGCATTGCCACACCAGTTTCTCACCTTCTCCATGCAGGGTAACCTCGCGTGTGGGTACCACAGTGTTTTGCTAGTTCTGTACTCTCTCTGGGCAGGGTAGCCTGCGTGTGCACACAATAAGTGCATGCATTAGTGCCCTGCCATATCCGCTAGATCAATCTCTGAGTGTAGGGCCCCATGTGGGTGGGCTATGGCATCCTCCTGATCCCGCTGGATCTAGCTCTGGGTTAGGGGTGGGGGTGGTGGCTGGGGATGCGCTACAGTGGCCCTGCAGGCCAGCTAGAGAAGCTGGATAGAGATCCCGCCCGCTCTTCAAGTGTGGGGGAATGTAAACAGTAGTGCTCACTAGATCCTCTGGTCCTGGATGGTTCCCTCAGCTCCTGGAGAGCCCTCATGGTTTTCCAACCTTCTCCAGGTGGTCTCTTTTGTTCATAATGCAAAAGCTGTTCAATTGGCCCTCAGTTGTATCTCAGAAGAAATTGCTTTAAATATAGGTATATATGTGATGTACTCTTGGGAGGGAGCAAGCTCAGTATCCTCCTATACCTCCACCTTAGACCCACATCCAAAATAGTATTTATCTTGATTACCGTGTTTTTGCACCCAAGGCAAGTACCTCACTCACATCACTCATTTCGTCCTAGTCCAGTCGTGTGGGTCAGAAGGTCTGGCCTAGAGCCCTAAGCTGTGTTTCTCATGTGGTCTCAGCTCACGCCCGTGCTGCTGTACCATGGCCCACACTTTGATTAAGGAGGTTATAGGATCATACTGTCTGACATAGACCATTAGATTCCAACTTAGGATTGAGAGAAATATTTTATTTGCCCCTATTCATTATTTTTCTCCAAAAATACCTAGTGAAAAATATAATAAGGCACCATATAAAATGCCTTGAAATTTTTCTTAACAAAATCTATGTAAATACGAGATGGCTTGAAATTAGTAAAAACGTCAACTTGAAAAGGAAATTCCATCTGTGCTGAAGATCTTGTGGGTATTTTTTATTGAAAGATCTTTTTCCTTCAGTAATGGACATATACATTTAAACTTTATACAACCAAAATCTCAAAATAATATTAAAATCACACTATGGTATTTTCATGGTTATGTCTCACTTAATTTTATTGTTGGTAAAAATATTGCAAGACACTTGTAACTCTAATGTTTCTGCTTTAAAATAAGCAATTAAACTAAACATCACAAGAAGAGACCATAAATACATACTACAATTTGCTGGTAACTTGCTAAAATGATAATTTAATAGTAATTAATATATAAGAAACAATTGCACTTGAAAAATTTAAAAAGTAAACAAAAAACTCTAGTTTTATATATATATATATATATATATGTCTATGAACAGAGTTTAATCATCTATAACCTTGCCAGAAGTATGTTTGTTTAAAAAAAAAAAAAGCTATGTATTTAACATAGCAATCATTCATTTAAAAAAAAAAAGTCTTGAATTTTTTAATGTTTTTATAGAATTTCCCCCATAGTTTGTGGATCAGAAAAGACTGCAACATAACTTAAGCAAAATAACACTTCATTGGTATTTAGTGCAAATTTGGAGTAATTTTTACATGAAATATTAAACACATAGCCTTTAGAAATTGTTGGAAATAAGTGCTGTGACTATGCTTTCCTCAGTATAATCTCCTTTTAAAGATTTTGATGGAGACTTTTTAACTGAGGTATTTCTACTACTTTGTATGGGCTTGGTGGTAGATGAATCAGTAGAGAGTGGATTCATCTACCATTCTTTGTTAATGATCTGATTTCTTTGCTTGTTTTTTTTGCCATTACTGGGATACAACTCAGTAATGATTACATCTCCAAAGCTGAGATGAAAGAAAAAGTCAATTTAGAAGAATTATTATAGCACTATAATTCCAGGGCTGTAGGTAGAAAAATTCCTATTAAAAAGTAGTATATTAGTGAAGAAATCATTGAAATTAACAAATGCCTAGATATCTGATTTAGAAATGAACATCAGTGTGGAAAACATGCAGTGGAATATTAACTGCTTCCCATAACAATAAAAAAAAAAAAATAAAGTTACACTGATTCTTAATGGTCGGAAAGTCCAGTATATATAATGAGTCTAACTTGTAAGAGTACAACTACCCACTTGATCACACGTGCCAGCTGCTACCATGAGGCTGAGCCACCATTTCCAGAAAAAAAATGCCTTCTACATGGTAAATAACTTCACTGTCATCCTTTAAGGTAAACGATAGAATAACAACGCATTGCCTATTGAATGAGCATAAAGGAAAATAATGATGCATACTAATACAATGTGTTTTTATAGGAAAGGGGAAAAGGAAGTAATTCTCTCTGCACTGGGCAAAGGATTTGTACTTATATTTTGGAGTCAGAAGCTAAGAAAATGGGAATATGCCAACACCGTGGAATTTAAAGTTAGTACCAGCAATGTGCAGGTTTGCTGTATGTCTGTTTCATGTAAAGAGAATTTAGGGAAATTAGTGAATATATGTGGCTTTTAAATTGCCAAGTCCCTTCTTTGTATCACATGTGTATAATAACAAGGCCACTTAAAACTGAGATGTTTTTCAAAGGTAGCAAGGTGAATGCTCTAAATTATAAGTGCTACTGAACATTGGACTCTAAATATGAATTGCTCGATTACGATAAAGAAGCAAACTTCCAGTAGGAAGTCCTTAGTACAAAGCCTCCAAATCTAATCTTCCTGTTAACTTTCCCTAAAGACAAGAGAATTTTCAGAGACATATAAAGTCAATAGCCTCTTATGTCTTGTACTAAATGGCTGGTTTGGGAGGTTGTTTTATTATTTTTCCCGTCTCACTTTTGCTTCTTTGGATGAAATGTCTCCCCTTCAGAGTTTTAAAAACTAGATTACAGTAGAAGCAGTGTATCCCAATGTTCTCAGGCTTTGGGATATATCAGAATTCATCTGAAGAATTTTTGCCAGAACATATATTCATAGCCCTGTCCTCACAGGAGGCCTGGGATGGAACCTGGACATCGTGAGAACCACTGCACAAGATGGGGATATTTAGAGACAGATGGAAAATTTGTGGCTTCCTTTCCTTACTATATTAAATAAAAATGTCCCCTGGGAGCCAACTCGGCCAAACGTTTAACATGGCCTTAAGGAGAGTACTACTATGGTGAGGCCTGTAGATCAACAGTGCAGTAGAAATGTGAATGGATTCGCTTTCTGAGTCACAGTTTCAGGTTGAGGAAAACTGATGAAAACCAGACATGAGCACAAGTTGGGAGCTAGACTGTTCCTCGCAGTTCCCAATTACTCACTGGATTCAGGAGAATGGGCATTCTTGTTTCTATCTATATATGATCCTTTTACCATTATTGTAGAAAAAAGTAGAACTCTACAAACACGGCAGGATAAATATTTTAGAAAAAAGAAACTGGGAGTACAGATTCAAAAATACCATTACAGGATTGGCAAACGTACATGTTCCGAATGGTGCGTGGGTGTATATGTGTGGAAGGGCTGTGGAATGAGTGTGGCAGGCTCTCCCGGGGAGCTCTTAGTCTGGAGGTTTTGCTTCGTGTGGTCCTTCGGACAGAATTTTCTCTTTAGAACTGCGAGGAACTCAAGGCACCGGGACCTAGGGTTGTGCAAATACATTCTTTACAAGGAACATCACCAGTTTGGTTTCTAAACATTATTTTAGAGCCTAGAAAGCATGCTTCTTTTCCCTAGCTTGGTTTCTTTACCTCATATAAAAAAAATAATAAATAAATAAAAAGGGCAAGAGAGGAGCCAATAACTGGCAACAACAGGAATGGACAAGAGTCACTCTTTACTTAATAATCTGTGGACAGTCGCTCCAGGCCTTGGCTTTCCTTTTGGCCAAAGCTAGCCAGGCTGGTTCTGTTGACACGGGGGCAACGTCTGGGGTAGAAAACCTCTTGGTGACTTCTTTCACCAGTGGCGCCGGGGGAGCTGAATCAGAGATCTCCACTGGATTGCATTTTGAAGGAAAAGGAGAAAGGTATAAGTCAGAGCCACATTTTGATTTATCAGAGGTATAGGATTCAGAAAGGAAAACTCAAGTGAAACTCTGGATATCTGAGGAGAATT